AGTTGTCTGTAAACCACAGCTCACATCTGGGGATGATATAGGGGGGACTGCAAACAAACGTCATCTGGTGATATTACACACACGCTTGTATCCGCTCACGCAAACACACACACACACTCAAAGGCATCCACCTACAAAGTCCAGTTTACATGGCCGTCCGGGCTGCATGTGGAATTGTGGTTGTGCAATGTTTCTGAGATGTACGTTTATCTGCATTCAGATGGTAAGATGCAAAGGGAACACTGCTGATATTGAAGAAACTGTGTCTTTAGAAAAAAGATGGTGCTTTGTGGAAAAAAAACAAGCAGAAATCGTTAAATCGGCCCATTACCTTCAGTGAAAGAAGATAATGCTGATTAGATCAGCATTTTCCAGTCAGCAAGTCTGTCGGTTCGGTAAAATTGGAGGAAATGTGGTCTGTCATTCCTGACCTGTCTGGACAAATTGTGTTGAACCCCAAGACTTCACCTTTGAACCTGTTAATTTAAAACAAACAGCTTGGAAGGTGATATGACATGTCCATGATTGCTTTGTTTTTATTTTTTACCTCTTTGTGCATCCTTTCTAGCATTTGGATGGCCATCTGAATAAGACTCAATCACTCACCATCTATTAGCAAAGGATTCTTAAAATGTTTTGATGTTTTGAAGTATGGGTTAATAGGGCAGCTGTGTGCAGTCGATATCTTGCAGAAGGTAAGGTTTTTGTTTGTTTGTTTGTTTTTTTTTTTAATTTCAGTGGAATCTTAAAGCAGCCAAAAGTTGGGGTTTTGTCCTTTTCTGTGTTACAGGAAGTCTCTAAGTTACATCCCTGGCTGAGATTCAGTAACTCAAAGTTTCAGTTCTCTCCATCAGTTATACTTTGAAGTCTCTTCTTTAGACACTACTTTGTTGCTTTGACATTACATTTTGAGGCCAAGTGATTTATGCTGAAATGAAATTGCACAGAAGTGGACTTATTTTTGCTATATGCACTTGCATTTATTTTGGACTAGAAGAAAATTAATAAAATTGTATCACTTGATTGTTTTTTATTTTGTTAAACTTGTGTATCATTTCCTTCTGCTTCACAATTATGTATCGTTTAGGTCAAATAAAATCCCATTAAGTCATTTAAATTCACCACTTTCTCCAACCTTCCACAATAGAGTTCACTTAAGAAGCAAAGTTGTTTTAATTACATTTTATTTGATTATGTCATCATTCTTTTCATTCATCAGCAGGAAATTAAAAGTGAAGTAGTGAAAGTAAAAACTGATAAAGCAATTTTTTTTTCTGTTTCTTTAATTTTCAGGTGCTTGATGAGTAGGTGGCACGTAGTTGTCAGAGGCTTTCTGGAACTTCTCCATAGCGAACTTCTTATTTTAGAGGCCCACTTAACATAGCCTCCAGCCACTGGGTTGTATGTGGTCTTCGTAATAAGCGCTTGCGAAGCCAAGCACGGTCTCTCCAATGGACTGGATTCGAGCTTTGGCTTGCCTGTACACAGATCAAAATGTACATTTTAAATACACACAGAAATATACCAGTAAAGATGATTCAATGCTTTGTCAAAATGCAGCTAAAACACCAAAGTATTTGTTTTAGAGGTTTTTTCTTAAACACTTCTTCCATGTTTTTGTTTGTTTATATACAGAAACTGATATTGGACAAAGTGAAATGTGACCAAAAAGACGACTAAAATATCAATTTAATTTATGCAAAAATAAAAACATTGCAAGCAACTTGGTTCTATGTAACACCTTCTACCCATTCTTACATATGAATCAGCTGTGATTAACTTCAGTTTTTGACATCTGAATTCAATTTCATCAGGTATGTTTGAGCCTAATAATTATCAAACCTGTAGAATTAGAAAACTTCTTAATTACAACCTTAATTTTTTTATATCTTGATAAGTAGTCAGCAAGATCTAAAAAAAAAACTCACTTAAAAAAAAACACAAAGGAGGAAATAAAGCCCCTGATTCTTTCAATCCAGAAAGGGTGTCAAAGGGAAATAAAGGGGAAAAATGGGACCATGGGAAGGCAGACCACCTTCTGAGAAGTGGTCCACCTACCAAGATTATACAAGAGCACAATAAAATATGTCCAGATCACTTGAGATTGATAAATGACAAATGACACCACCATTGTAACCTAAAAAACTCATGCTATTCATCAGAAATACTTGAAGGGAGTTTTTGAGGTCAAGCATGACATAACCAGTTTTAGATTATTTTTTTCACAATGGAATCATTTTTGATTTGATTCTTATTTTCTTAAGAAATGTATTTGTCATCTCTTTTTTGTCTGTGTGAACTTTAGTTATTCTGGTGTGATTTGTAAAATTTTTATTTCGATCTGAAACATTTAAGAGTGATAAAAGCAGAAGAAATCTGTGACAAAATATATAATCTTTTCAAGCTACTGTGATTTAAACTGAGCCACTCAAAAATAGGATTGATATTATTCGGTGACCTAAGTGCTTCAGGTTTCCTCCACAAATTAAAAAAAAGCAAAAACATCAATAAATCACCCAGCTCTGTCTGCCAGCCTCTCCAGTATTCCTCTGGAGTCTGGTTGCTCAGGTGCAGTTGTCTGTGCCGAAGTTGACTTCCATGCTGCAGGTGAATCAATTCAAGTGAAGTAAATTAACTCAAACTCAATGTCATAAATGAAAAACATTGATAACGAGAATTTTGTGTGATTTTTTTTTTTAAGATGTACCTTGCAAGAGAAACAACAGAAGGGAGATTTTCTGAAATCGCAAGTGCTGAAAAAAAAAGAGAGAAACACAACCAGCAGTCAGTTTGTCTTTTGCTAATACCATCAGAATATCACAATAACTTTTCCTGACTGGTTCAACAAAAAAAGAAGGTTTTACATGTCTCAGGTTTTTACATTAAACTAACACAATTACAAACAAAAAGCTGTTTTTACCATTTTTCCCGTCTTTCATCAACAGAAATTAAGCGAGTCAATCTTATCAGCCTGCTGTATTTGATTTAGGTTGGTGCAAGAGTGCGAACATTGGTCCTTGCCGCAAGATCATTGATCCTGCGCTTGTTTTCTTTTTTTCTGTGCTTCAATATTTTATTGCCAAATCACAGAGTGACAGCAAAGCAACATGTCTGAACCTGTTCCAGTGAATAGGTTTATTTTTTCAATCTGACTCCTACTGTTTGTTCCCTCATAAAAGCAAAGACTACAAACACGTGCAATGCAAAGACATTTGAAGTAGCTGCCAATGCTGGGGATTTAAAAAGCTTAAAACTCAAAATACTTTTGGAACCATCTAGTTTAATCTTTCAAGTATCACATTTTGTGTTAATGTTGTGTACTTATATTACATTGCAAATTGTTGTGTCATCAAAGATTTGCAAAATGGTTATTTTGTAAATTTACGGGTTCTGAACTGCTGCCATCTTCTTTCGGGCCTACGTTCGCTGTAGATGCACCCTTTGGCTTTCATATCTCATCCCATTTAGCGAGTACTGAAATGTGTACAAACCAGGCAAAGTCTCCAAAGCAGAGATACGTGTTTTAGTTGAGACGGGTTCAAAAAGATCGTGCAGGGGCCAGAGTCCACCTCATATTGATTTGAGTTTTTAGTAGATACATGGACTTTTCACCTCACTTTCTCTAAATGGAAGCAATTCTGTCTGAAAGGTTATTTCCTAGTAGAGCAGAATACGTAAAAATCTGTATCTCAGCCATCTAGCACAATTAAGAGTTTTAAACCCTTCCCTAATGACTCCATCATTAGGCCCAGCATCCCTTCAGATCAGGTAAGATAGATGCTAAATAAACCTAGAATGTATTATCTTATGCCTTTGTGTACAAGCGACTGACCTATGCCACTGTTCTCTTCAGCAAAAAAGATTTCATTGAACCTGGATGGTGAATTATTAACACATCATAAACAGTGACTTTATACCAGGAACATTATGAAATGCCCAAAAAGCTACCATGTTGGCGTTTGCCCTTTGGTCCTTACAACCAACAGAAATGAACCGTTATCTATTAGATAGGTTTGATATCAGAGGTGTTTGATATGGCAGGATATTGTGCATTATGTATTGCGAGATTTGAAGCACAGCTGGTGCCATCTTGGTGATACATATTTTCAATTAAATTTAGACTTAGACTCATATTAGGCTGCTGGAACACACACCGAGGCCTTAGTCTGATCCAGTGGTTTTCAGTCTTGGTCCTAAGGACCCAGTGGGTTTTGAGCATCTTTGTTCTCTGGCACATCTGAGTCAAATAACTGTATTACCTTATCAGAATGTCATTAACTACTGCATTACTATGTTATTCACTGCAGCAAGGAAACACCTGAAACATGCAGGACAGTGAATCCTGAGAATCCACAATTATTGGTCTAAACTATTCAGTTGTAACTTTGGCTGTATGATGAGGGTAATTGCTGGAAAGTGACTCCTCCACCCATCCTGCTCCCCAATCCATCCATCCATGATCTTTGACTATGTTGCTGGTCGGTTGAAAAAATGCATTTCATGGTAGAGATATTATACTCTGGGTATTCGTACTTGTATCGTTTTACATGCAGTTAAAAAAATTACATTTGAATTTGCTAATTTTCTAGTCAATGGCAAAATGCAAATGGACATCAGAATGTCAGAATTAGAATATGGCTTTCTTTCACAAATTCAGAAATGTTGTCATTCCTCCGGCGAATTCACACTAAGTGATCAACATTTCCGAGAGAAAATATTTGGTCACTGTTTCTTATCATCTCTCATTCAGTGTTTTTCTATTTGTCTCCTTGTCTTCTTAGAACTATGTTTTTTTTTTAAACTAAACTCTTTAAATGTGTCCTTTTTTATATTTCACTGCAGCAATGCAGAAGCAACCAATCTGCTTATTTTAGTTCAAAGTGTCATTTGTCTACTGACATAATCTAAACTTTTGTTATTAGGCGACTTGGACAGCACACTTTGTTCTGCCTGCTCTTAATAACTCAGTTAAATCTGAAGAAACAAAATCCACAAGGTCCTTGTTGTCTGTTTTGAAGTTCTCATTTTATTTGTACAGAAATATATTGATATAACAGAACATTTTATTCCATTCCATGTATTTTATTGCAGTTTTACACAGTTTTCCCAAAGAAAGATCACAGGCTAAGAATTGGCAAATTCATCCATTTTGTTGAGCGACGTGACTTCAGCCTTGAGATGGTGTAGAAGCAAGTCATCTGTCAGCGTGGGCGTTGGGAACAGAGGGGAGGTCATTGACTGGGCCACCAGTTCATTGGTTCATTTCTTGTACCTTGTCTTTAAACTGCTGGAATTTCTCTGTGAACCAATTCCTGTGGAGGTTCAAAATAAAATGTGAGTCATGTACTTAACAAGAAAACTTACATGCGTTTTATGTGTATCAGTCTACCTGGTGCTCTCTGCAAAATCACTGGTTGCAATGGCGTCAAAATGGGTCTTGGCTTTTTCAGCTACATTCTTGCCGAACTCTGTGATCTGATCCCCAAAGTTTGAGAACCTTTCTGCAAATGAGTCATCCTGAGCCTCTGAAAGTCAGTGAAAAAAACAAGGACAATGAGATAATAGCAGAAAGAAACATGCAAGACTTTTCTGTATAAAACACTAAGAAGAACCTGTGTATGCGACAAGAGCCAGCAACAGCACGGCAGCTGCAAGATACAGTTTCATCTTGACTTCTTTTCCTAAGGTTAGAAATCAGAAAAATTATGTTATGAATTTGCATTAAATTGCAAGCACAGATGTTCTTTGAAAAACATTAAAATAGATTGTTTTTCACTTTATTTAATACACAATTAAAGTTTAGCTTTCGAAGAAGTGCAGAATTTTCCAAAAAACAAAACGTTCATTATTTAGTTGTTTTTCTCTTTACCTTTTTTACTTATTGTTTGTTCAGCACAAAGTTACAAAAACGTAATTTTTTCAAGTGATAAAGTGTAAAGCATACCTCTTTTCCGTCTCTGTGTAGAAAAAAAATGGTGTGTCGTGGATGGTCAGAGTGTGCCTGCTTTTTATAACCCTTCCCCGTTTCAAGAGTGTTATGCAAAACACCAGATTTAGGTCAACACGTAGATGCGACGGCCTTGAGGAATCCCTGCCCATTTTATTGATCTGCACTCATCTAATTGCATTACAAAAGCTTACTGATGAAACAGGCCTATTGTAAATTAAAGGATGCACAACTGGTGCATATTGATGAAATGTTGAGCTTAATTAACAAATAATGTCTTGTGATTAAGGGGAAAATTAGTAGAAAAGGGAGTAAAATTCTCATCTGAACCTTCAGCAAAACAGTGGTTTGAACAGATAAGTATGGAGGTGATGTAGACAGACAGCAGAGTTCACTGCTGACGGAAATACAGACATGAGCTATGTGTAAGCTACTTTGGACCTAGATAGTTGGCCAAGAGTTAACTCTGTCAAAAGAAAAAAACTCCACGTAATGACCTGACAAGTCTGTGTTGGAAGGCAACTGGACTTTAATAGTTTTGTTATATTACACTGTTTGTGCCTTTTATGCACCTCCCAACTGACAACCTCGAAGTACTATGCCGATTCCAAGAGTGATTCTTTTTCATTTGAGAGACTGTTTAGCCCCACAGCTCAATATAAGAGGACATGGGTCCCTGAGATAGCGCTAACCTTGGTTTCTTTTACGCATGCAGATTGCAATTGACTAAAAGTTAAGTATAAACTGAAAGGTTCTAAGGCGATGTCCAAGTAAAAATAGTTATTTTGAAACTAATTTTGCTCTTTCATTACAAATGTAAAAACATTTAGAAAGGCTGGCATCCATATAAAAAATGTTGCAGTTGCTGTGGTAGACCTGTGTGTGGTGACATCAGGCAGTAAAAACATTTAGTGCTTGCTTTTGGTACGTTTGGCAATTTTGTGATCAATCCTTTGGCTTGTGTTTGTGAAATTATCCTTTTCAAGTTGCATCTATACAAAAACTATAAACTATATCAAATGTGCAGAATGCATGAAATGATAATGTTATACAGCTAAATAAAATTACTTGTGATTGGGTATTTTTTATGGCCATTTATTTCCATAATTTTTAAAAAATTATGGAGATAACTTTCAAATTTTCTCTCACGTTTATGAATTTGGAAGTGTCTAAATTTTTACGCATATCTATGAAATGGGCTTATAAATTGGTGAAGGGGGAAAATGACCTGTAACCCATTTTTTGTTGCTTTGTTAGTTTTTCATTTCCCTCTCGAATTAGAAATGTCAATACAACACCCACTGTCTGGTTTGTGTACACCTTCCTTTTTTTAAAAAAGGAAATGACCAAGACAGAACCACATGTGGCTGATTCTTCCAGCCAGCTTGTGACGCCAAAGAGATGCTCAGTCAATGCACTGCAGTAACCCACAATTAAAGCTTTTTATCATACATGGCAAATCAAATGAACAATCTTGACTTAGACTACAATGGTCAATCTATTGCTAATCACTGCAACCAGGCAGTCCTATTGTTATGTTGAAAAGCCCACAATTTAGGCATTGGCATTAAGATTAAGGTCCTTGAAATCCCAAATTCTCATCTTTTGTTCAGAAGAGGCCAATTAGGGTCCCGACCTTGCGTGCATACCAGCCCCTCTTGAATAATTGTAGGAGCATTGGGTGTTAAAGTGGAGGCCTTCCTTGCTTCTAATTCGCAATTATGAGCCTAGGAAAGGCCTGTTTTTGTGTTTTGCCCAGGCTCCCGTGGAGACCATTGTTGTGTGCCAGCACTAAAGAGCACTGAAAAATGAAGTGAAGAAAGAGATTTCAAAATGAGGCAAAAGCACCATGGATGTTTTAGGAGAGGTTACTAGCAGTCATGGGCTAGTTACCACCTGCTTATTTTGTGCTGTTTTTTTTTTTTTTTTCTTCCCGGATTGTTGCTGGGCAGTTCTCAAAGTGCAGACACGCTATAGGAACAGAGCGAGCAGAAGTGCTGAACAAGCAGACCAATTGTGGTTTTCTTGTTTTTACCTTTCATGAGTAATCCTCAAAACAACTGGGAGCTTACTCTCGAAGTTTCACTCCATCTGCCAGAAAATAAACACAGCTTCCCTAAAGGCAGTGATTTCATGAGTGATAAACAGCTGCTCATTGTGTTAGTCATTCTTTCACTTTGAATCAAGTGCCCCTTCACACAAAAAAAAACTGTAAACATGTTTTTCATGATCTTGTGAAATGATTTTTCTTAGAAGAATCTATGAAAAAAAATCCACTTTTTTTTAAATCTGCCCACAGTTTGTAGTTTTATATCAGCAGTTCCTCAAATTAATTTTACTACAGAACAAATGCAAATTGCTCTTGTACAGCAGCACAAATAACCTTTGAAGTCCTAAACGTCAAAAGGTCTGTATCCTATTTACAAAAGTGTCCTACTTTGTAAATGGGATACAGTTCACAAAAGCATCCTGCAAAAGTATTCTGAACCTTGAAACTTTTCACACATTGTCAATGTCAATAATATTTTCAGGGAGTATTTTTATCTGATACACAACATTTTTGACATTGTTGCAAAGCAGAAGATGACTGGTTTCAAAACTTTTGATAAAAATGTAAAGCGTTAAATCGATTTTTTTTTCTTTTTTTAAGAACAACCCTTTATTGTAAATACTTCTACTTCTTGCAATCTATGCAGACTGATCCCAGTCATATTGGATATTTTTAGGTCAAAATCTCATTGAAATTTGGTCTGACAATTCTCATATCTGGATATGATTTGATCTGAACAATTTATCGCTGTTGCTGCATGTTCTGGGTCACTGTCCATCAGGAGAATGAACCTGTGCCTGTTTCACAACCTCTAACAGATTTTTTGCCCTGCATTTAACTCCCTCCATCTTCCCATTATTTCTGAACAGCTTCCTTGCCCCTCATGAAGGAAAGTGTCTCCACTACACTTCCTCAAGATGGTTCACTTTGGAGTGCTTAAGATGTTGGTTTTAGTTTTCCTCCTCACATCAGATGATGCGATTGGACCTAAAGGTTTAAATGTGGCCAAAGTACCTCCTTTTCCATGTTTGTTTAAGCTTTTTGCAACATTTAAACAGTCTCCCCACTCTTGCACAATAAGCTAAAAATCATGTTGATAAGCCTCCAACCTGAACCAGAGAACTCTGCCCTACTGCAGAGTTATCAAGGTTATGATTTATGATATTCTGAACAACTTTATCCTCATCTCATTTGCTGTTCTTTTGTCTCTGGGGGATTCACAGAACAGATTTACGGTGCATTCACACCAGCCAGGTTTAATTTAACTCCAGTTTGTTTGCCTTGAATTTGTCGTTCATTTGGTGAGGTGTGATTGAGCCATCAAACTCTGATGCAGATCAACAAAGCTCTGGTAAGCCTAATTCTTAATTTGGTTGAAGTGAACTCTTCTGATTTGAATGGAAACGTGAACACCAAGGTGACCAGAGACCGCTTCGAAAGTGCACAGATTTCTGGGTAAATACAACCAAAGCAAGCATGTAAGTCTAGCACTAGCAGAAGAAATGTGTCATGATCTTGTACCAACTACAAAAGAGAAATGTTACAATTGCTGTTTTCTGACACCATTTCATATTTTATTTAGCATTTTGTGAAGAAAGTTTAACTCATTGTCTTCTTCAGAGGTTTTCGTGTCACTACCTTCAAAGGTTCTTGGTACAACGCCCACACAAGCAAGGGAGGGGGGAACATGTTTTTTCAAAGGGTTCAGTTCGTTTGACATAGTGCAAGTAAAGGTGAATGGCACTAGCTCAAATGAAAGAATGTTGCAATTTTGGTCCTCATCTTGTCCTAATAGTTTTCACACTCTGTAGCACCCGACTATCAGGTGTGAAAACACTCTTAACTGAGGTTAAACTACACACTGACAAACTGTTTTATTATTTAAACAACTTTGAAAAGGAACACGGTTTTTATTTTCTAAGTAGTTCTAAGTAATAAAATGTTCCAAATATATGCAAACACGAAGGAAATGTACATTTTCACTCTGGATATTTTAAGACAATTTGTTGAAACCATGTTTGGACATTTTTGCAAAAGTCAGACACAATGCATTTATTTCAGTCTTATAAATCAAGTTTTTCTCTTTTATGAAGTCTCATTTCCACATCTTTTTTTTCATGAGGCATATAGTTTATTTAACTCTCCAACTAAGAAAACACAGCTGCAAGTTAGTGCAGCACATATCTGTCCACAGAGGGGTCAGAGGACGGATGTTGGTCAGTGAAGGGGGTGAATGGTGTCCCCTACTGGCCTCTGCTCTAAACTTCAAAGGAAAAGTCCTGCTGAGTTTGACAGACATAAAGAGGTTATCAAACTCAGCAGGTGCAAATGCTTATTTTGATGTTATATGCATTCAGCACAGCAGAAACCAGAGAAAGGCTTGAATATGTGCCAAGACTTTTTCAACACATCCTCTTATGTAACAAATGATCATGTTCAGCACAGAAACTTAACGGAAATGTGAAATGGCATGACATGCAGCCATCGATCTCATCCCAAAAATGAATGAGAGCATGCATGAGGTCTGTGCGTTTGTTGATCTGAGTGGCACATCTGTTCAAACCTGCAGATGAAACTGGCACTGGTACAATGTCACTGTAAATGGCACAGCTTGTTCCCAAATACCTGCTGGGATCAAGAGAAAGGAATCTGCAAGCAAATATGAACAAGTCTGAACTGGACACAAAACAGTGGACTTGAGGATGAAGGGGTGCCACTTAGTTCAAATACAGTTGATTTGTGATTAGATGCAGAAACAGCAGAGAAGAAAAGCCTTAAGTTTGGGCTTTATTCTTCTATTTTATGTCGAGATGGAAATATATATCTTGTATCCTTCTCGCATGCAGCAAATGTTGAGGAAGAGGTTTGCTAATGGTAGTTCATTTTTTGGAAGGTCCTCATTGAACTCTGAAATGACACACGCCCAGAAAATAGGCTTTGGTTGGGTTAAAGTTAATGCAAGCAGCACAAACTGAGAAAACAAACTTGTTTTATAGTCAAAATACTTTGAAAGTGAAAAAGTAATTTGACACCCCTCTGAAGTGAGAGTGCAACTGGATC